CAAGCATTTCAATTGCACAACATCTTTACATGCAAAATTGCGTATTTCCTCTCCACCGCTGCCGCATAAACGTCTATAATTATGTTATTAAAGTGTTTTACAAACATGTCGGACGCAGCATACCTATTTTATTTCAAACGCCATCCTACCAAAGCGGGTATATGCGCCATCTACGGGCACAGAATTGTGTCATTTTGCTTTGTGGTTATAAAATTATTTATTGCGCATATACAGTTGGCAATCGTTTCTATATGTAGGCGGCGATGCGGTTCGCTCATTAAAACTGACTTTCTTCTTAACTCACTTCATTTGTGTCCTTTTTTTGTGGTGGCTACAGGGTATTGACACTTTCATTCTATGTTAGCTCAACGAGGCTAATCCAAAGCCTAGCCAGCTCATTCTAGTAATATATGCCTTCAAACACGACGCGACTTATCGTTTTGAGTATGTTGCATGTATACAGTAAATGACGATCCACGTGTTCGTGAGTCTGCATGCCGCGTTCCTTCGCGTGTGCCCGCCGTTGTGGTGAGAGTGCGTTCCACGGCACACGTAGTGCAAATTCTTATAAATCCTTATGCATTGCAGGTGAAAAGCACAGTGGTTTGAGACTTAAACTGTAGCCAGAAAAAAAGCTGCGAACGAACAAAAGGCTGGACAGACGGCCGGCCGGCGACCACCATCGCCCACTGACAGTCAACACGAAAGAATACTAATGGTAATAGGTGAGCTTGGCCCGGTTGAAGGTGTTCCTGACTACATAGGACACTTGCACAGGTTACGCTTAACGACGGTAGTCAGCAACGTGGAGATGATGATGATGATAACACCGCGATAATAATGATGATCGTGACGATGACAATTGATGATAATGGATTGTGCGTGACTATTTATGGAAATATTCAGCAATATCCTCATGCCACACCGACCGTGGGCAACAAAACTTGCGGCCTGTCTGCATCCTTGTATCTGTTCTGGGAATTAACAGTAGACTCTATAACGCTCATATGTTTCTCAACGTGTTTTCCTTCTATGTAAATGTTATCTATATATTACATGCGGCGTCGCAGAGCAGGTCCTATGTTATTTATAAAAAATGGTAATTTGCTGCCTAATTATATTATTATGGATCTGTGAGCATCATTGCAGGCCGACATTTAATTTCATGGAAACCTCTGAATATTTCGTGGACAGCCATAATCTAATTTTTTGCTGTGAAAGGCTTCCTGGTGCTTAAATTATTTCAATGTGGATAATAAGCTATTTATAGCACATGTTCATCGTGTTTTTCTTCGTGCCATGAATTTCTTTAGGCATTGTTATGTAAGGTATAACACAGGAGAGATACTGAGCAATGAAGATTGCGAGAAAAATGTTTTCGCTCTACCTACCCAGCTATCACCAGAAAACACGGTTAATTTCACGTTACGTTCAGTTACATATGTTCGTTGTCCCCTGTACTACTATCAACATAACTACGTATGAATACCCAGTCTGTCAGTCTCTCTCTCTCTCTCTCTCTCTCTCTCTCTCTCTCTCCTCTCTCTCTCTCCTCTTCTCTCTCTTCTTCTCATCTCCTCTCTTCTCCTCTCTCTCTCTCTCTCTCTCTCTCTCGTCATTCTCTCTCTCTCTCTCTCTCTCTTCTCGCTCTCTCTCTCTCTCTCTCTCTCTCTTCTCTCTCTCTCTCTCTCTCTCTCTCTCTCTCTCT